ACCACAGGCCTCCAGTGAAAAACCTGCTGCTCTACAGGTTTAGTCCTGGTGTAGTCCTGGTTTAATCCTGGTTTAGTCCTGATTTAGTCCTGGTTTAGTCCTGGTTTAGTCCTGATTTAGTCCTGATTTAGTCCTGGTTTAGTCCTGGTTCATTCCTGGGTTTTAGTCCTGGTGTAGTCCTGGTTTAGTCTTGGTTTAGTCCAGTTTTAGTCCTGTTTTAGTCAGAGTTTAGTCCTTGGTTGAATCCTGGTTGAATCCTATATGGATTTGCTAAAATATTGAAATATCATTGTATCGTGATACTAAATTTGGTGACAGTATCGATATCGTGGGCTGCTGTATTGATATATCGCCAAGAGTATTTTTTGTACATTTTACAAAATAATTTTTTTTTTTTTTTTTCTACAATTTAGATGTTGTAATGGTGCACCTGGTTTATTTTGTATTTTCTTTGCACAAGTCGTGCTTTAACAAAGAAACACTTTTATTCAAATGGATTTGGTTCTTAAAAATAATGAAAGATTGATGAATATTGTGTAATATGTCAATTATCACATGTATTGCCATATTGGAATAATATCATACAGCCCTACAGTCCTGGTTCAGTCCAGGTTCAGTCCTGGTTCAGTTCTGGTTCAGTCCTGGTTCAGTCCTGGTTCAGTCCTGGTTCAGTCCTGGTTCAGTCCTGGTTCAGTCCTGGTTCAGTTCTGGTTCAGTCTCCTCATGTGGACCTCTCTTTGTCCTCAAATCCATTTCTTTTCCTCCTCTTTCTTTGGAACGTTTTACCTCCAGGAAATCCCATTGTAAAAGGTGAACCGCGATGTCGCTTTGCTCATGTTGGCCCCGGGATTAAACCCCCAACCTGTTCTTTATGTGCCTTTATTCTGGTGTTTTTAATGCCCTGACCATCTGCAGACAGACTCTGCGGTCACTAATGGGCCGAGCACAGAGGCCTGTGATGGGCTTATGTAACAAAGAGCTCACAGTTTGGACTTTAGGACGGTTCACCAGCAGGGGGCGCTGCTGCACATTTACACACCTGTCATCAGAACATGTTTTAAAGTACATCGTTTTGTTTGTTGGTTGTTGACTAGACAAATTCTTGGGTTAGTAAATGTACATCCATTAATTGACTAAAAATCTCTTGCACTGTCCAGTCACTTTACAAACCCGAGCTCATTCTCTCTGTGTGTGTGTGTGTCTGCTTTATGGATCAGTCCTGGTTTACTCCTCTGTGTCTTTCTTTCTCTCTTTTCTGCCTCTGTTTCTCTCTATCTCTTCCTCCTTTGGTCTCTGTCGTTTATGATCTATTCTATTCTATCTCTCTCTTTCTCTTTCCCTCTCTCAGTCTCTCTTCCTTTCTCTCTGTCTCGTAATCCCTTGGTCTCTCTCTTTCTCTATCTCTCTCTGTGTCTCCCTTTCTTTCTCTGGCTCTCTCCTTCTCTCTCGCTGTCTCGTTGTCTCTATCTCTTTTTCTTTGTCCCTTGGTCTCTCCCTCTCCCCCTCTGTCTCTTTCTCTCTCTCTGTGTTTCTTCATCCTATGGTCTCTCTCTCTCTCTCTGTGTCTCTGTCTCCCTCTCTCTGTCTCTCTCCTTCTCTCTCTCTGTGTGTCTTTTCATCCCATGGTCTCTCTCTCTCTCTGTGTGTCTCTGTGTCTCCCTCTCTTTCTCTGGCTCTCTCCTTTTCTCTCGCTGTCTCTTTCTCTCTCTCTCTCTCTTTGTGTCTCTCTTCTCTGTCTCTTCGTCCCTTGGTCTCTCTCTCTCCCTCTCCCCCTCTGTCTCTTTCTCTCTCAGTGTCTCTTCGTCCCTTGGTTTCTCTCTCTCTCTCTCTCTCTCTCTCGCTGTGTCTCTGTCTCCCCCTCTCTCTGTCTCTCCTTCTCTCTCTCTGTGTCTCTTCATCCCATGGTCTCTCTCTCTCTCTCTCTGTGTGTCTTTGTGTCTCCCCCTTTCTCTGTATCTCTCTCCTCCTCTCTCTCTCTTTGCCTCTCTGTTTCTTTCTTTCTTGCTGTCTGTCTCTCTCTCCCTCTCTCTTTCTGTCCATCTGTTTCCTTCTCTCTCTCTCTCTCTCTCTCTCTCTGTCTCTCTGTTCTGTCCTGCTCGTGTCCATTTATATTTAGATGTGCAGTGTGAGTCGGGTCTCCAGTCTCCAGCCTGTGTGTGCGCTTCATGTTCACTTCATTACACTGTCGCTCTCTCTCCTTTCCTCTCCTCTGCTCTCTCTCTCTCTCCTTTCCTCTCCTCCGCTCTGTCTCTCCTCTCCTCTTCCGTCCGTCTGTGACACACTCCACACTGAAATAAACATGTCATTGCTTGAAATCGCGTGGGGTCTTTTTCATCTTCAGCCAATCCTTTGCGGGACAGTAACACAAACATTAATACATGTTTCTGATGGTTTGAAAAAAAAAATCTCTTAAAAAAACACTTTGGGCCCTTGTATGTTGCATTCCGTGTCCCTCAGTGTCTTTTGTTTGTTGGACGAAGTTACACACAACTACAGACAGAACCAGAACTGCTCCACAATCACAACAAAAGCCCCTGAGCGCTGATTCTATCTGTAAAAGTGAGTCTTATTTCTCTTATTTGATTCTCTTCTGTTGATCCTCTGCAGTAACATCACTCTGGGGGTGTTCTACATGTATCTCTAATGGCGGAACGTTCAGCCGAGGAGAGACACGAAGCACACATTAGCAAATAAAGAGAAAAAGCCAAGCAAAGCGGCGCATTTTCAGGAGCCTGTGATCAGTCCGAGCGTCCGTGGTTCTGTTTACGAGTTTGATTTCCAACAAAAAGGTGAGAGTGACAAACTGAAAAACTGTTGGCTGATGCTTGTGATAATTTTATGTGTGAGAGACTCGTTTAACAGCATGAATCAGCTCATCTGTTGTATCCAGCTAAGACAGCTCTCTGTGGTCAGATTGTGTTAAAATAAAACTCAGATTAAAGTCTAAAGATCGTCACACAATGCAGGAGAATTTGCCCGATTTTAGCTACAGTTTGCGTCTCCCTGAGTTCGTGGAGGTGTGATCTGACTTTGTGTCTTTGTGTACAATTTAGAAGCTGCAACGCTACTTCAACAGCCAAGAAAACAGAGCGTCAGGGAGAGGGAGTGATGGACGCAGAGACGCAAAATACAAACTCAGGATATAAGAAAAATCCCTCAGTCATTCAGATAGAATCTACCCAGGCTGGTGCCACCTAGTGTCCTCAATCAATTTCATTTTTCTCCAGAAACTATAGATCAGGAATCGGAATACACTCGAGGTTTGCAAAAACTCAAAAAAGTATGAGTCCAGGCACCAGCCAATCAGCAAAGAGTCATATATTCTGTGTTGGCAACGATTCCCGAGATCGAGGATTTAAAGCTGGAACAAAGAGAATGTTTGGTGAATTTCATTAAAGGGAAAGACGTTATTGCCCTTCTTAATACAGGATTTGGGAAAAGCTTAATATACCAGTTAGCCCTGTTAGTGTCACATTACATACGTCACGACCAAATAACAGTGATTGGTTAAATAAAAAAAGTACCTGCCTACCGTCGAAAGAACGAATCCTAATGCTGTGAGTCAGGCTGTTTCCACGAAGTGAAACCGGCTGCTGAATCGGACTAAGTAGAATCGGTGGCAAAAGGAGAGATTCATTTGTCAGCTGGACAAAAGTTAGTTTCAGAGTATTTTCGGTGTAGTTAGCTCCTCCCTTCAGGCAGATTCGACCAGAACTGAAGAAGCAGCTTGGATGAGCTGCCAAATGTTTTTGACAAAATAAACTTTTGTCCAGTTGACAATTTAAATTTCTCCTTTTGCCAACTCGGGATATAGCAAAAATAATGAAAGTTTATTACTAGAGGTGTAACAATAACCAAAATATTGTGATATTATATCATCAAAAGTTTCTCAGTAATATCGTGGGCCATCACATTATATTGAATCACAAGTTTCTCTGCTTAAATTCATTGTTATGGTGCAGCAATAACAAAAAAACAGAGTGAACTACATCAACCATGATCCTTTGCTCCGTTTTGCTGCAGTAATGAAGTAATTTGGTGAAGAAATAACATTTCTACGCACTTTTAAATCTTAGTTCTTTGGGTTACTGTTTGTAACTGATTATAATTAAAAAATTTAAAAATAAAAAAGCTTTTGGACATGGGCCATCTGAGTGTGCTTTGCATTTTTTTCACTTTTGTCTTGCTGCTCCTTGCATTTGCACCTCTACAAGAATTTTGGTGTGCGTTTCCTGTTGCTTTTGTATCTGATTATAAAACATTTTTACTGTCTGATAATCAGGAAGTGTGTGGTAGCATGCTAGTTGTTAGTTTTACACTCTTGTCTCTGGAAGTTGTGAAAAGCTCTTATAAACTCATCATGGTGAATAATTTGGATGCTCTGAATGCATAAAGGAAGTGAGGAAGAACTTTGGAACGCTTCAAACTGTTTAAAGGTGCATTGTGTAACTTTTCTGATGAGGGTCTGCAACCTGTTTGTATCCGTGGAGATGTTAATGCTTTGGTGTAAATTGTCCACACTAATCTGTCTTGGATTTGTGTTATTTATTGCTCAAAAATATCTTAAAAAAAACCATGAATTCTTACTGTGAGTGGGCTCGCCTCTCCACAAACCGAACCTGTAATATGGCTTGCACGACTCCATGGAGATTCTTAAGTTTATGGACATACTGCGGAACATTCTAGGCACAGTTGCACGGAGAAAAGCAGATGACAGACCCTCCAGCGGACACAGTGCACCTTTAAACTGACTTGACTCGTTCTGTTTTTTGTGTTTTTAAGAAAGTAAAAATCAAGTACAGCGTCTTTAAACTCATCTGAATGCGATCGCCCGAGCTGCCGCGCATCACCCGACCTCCGGCGTGTGTTTACGAGTGTGTGTGCGGTTCAGGAGCAGTGGGATCAAACAGCGTCAGGTCTGAGTCACTCAAAGCCCTCACTTCAGAGCAGGTCATGTGGCGTTCAGGGGCCGTAGGAGAGCCCAGCGTCAGTCACTTCAG